TCCATAAAATCTAAACAGGTTAGAAAAATCTTATTGAACGTAAGTTGCTTGGTTTTAATTATCTGAGTAGAAAATTTCAGCTGCCATTAAAATACTGTTTATCTAAATTGAAAAACTAACACAAAAGTAAATAAAAAAAACTTTTATAAATTTTTTGTTTAAAAGGATTTTTGAATGAGAAAAAATATAAAGGAAAACAATATCATCTGCTCATTCTTAATCTTCATTTAAATACAGTTTTGTACAGAAAATAATTGTATCAGAAAATTATATCAGAAAGTACTGACTAGTCACTGTGTGCATTTAAAAATTATTTGATTTCTGAGATACTGTTCAATGATACCAGCTGCAGGTGGGGTTCTTGACATTTCTGAAATCCCAACTAGATAATTTGATAATGAAAATAGATATAGAAGCCTACATTTTGGCACCAAAGTGGAAAATCTAGATTTTTTGTATAAGTTATAGATCAACTGGGACCAGTTTTATGAGAGATCTTTCTCTGAAGATTGAAAAAATGTGTTTTTTTAAGAACATAATATTTATCTAAAATTTTATCCTGAATTGATTTTATTTTATTTTGTCATGCATTATACATTAATTCTCTTCTAATCTAATCTAATCTGATATGATCTATTCTTTCACATGGCTTTAAAAATATATAATTATTATTTAGACTTCATTCTTTTCAATTGCTTTTAAAATATTTCCTTCTAAAATACTTGCTTTTAAAATACGTGGCCATGTCTATTTGCAGAATGCTAATAAATGTACTCCTCACTTTATCTGACATAATTTTGAGCATTTTTTGTTAGTTCTTTGCACAAAGCAAGCAATCTGGTTAGGGTTGAGGGCCTGCATCAAACAACTGGTTGCGTGTTGCTTTGAATGTCTATCTCTCAGATTCTTTTTTTGCTCTACAGGTAATAAAGATATGTTCTTTAACAGCAGTGATATTTATTTAAGCCCTTGTTAGTTTTTTTTGTTGTTTTTTTTTAAGGATCAGAAACAATATGGATGCTTATGGTTGAGCTAGAAAATCTCAATGTAGACTGTAACTAATGTCATGCAGCTAATTTAGGTGTCTCTGTATTTAGGTCTCTTACTGAAAAGACCACAACAGCGGAGGTGGAGATGCTGTTTAGTGGTATTGATAGAACTACTGACATTTTGTGGGACAGACTGTTTAACTGGAATATTAAAATCAATTGCTATTACCCATTTCATTAACAGAAATAGGAGGAGAGGAAAAAAAAAAAAAAAGACAGGCATGGATGAAATGTGAAAATTCCCTCTCTGTGAGACAACATATGCTTAAACTGACTATTTCCATATTACCAGCTGACTTCCATTCAAGATTCTTAAAAGAAGCAGGTGAGGAACTCCATGAGATGCTGCGGACAGGGTGTTTCAAACATTTTTCAGTAAAGCCAAAATGAAGAAAATATGCCTGCAAGGAAATCAGGCAGTCTGGGACATTGCCCGGACTCTTTGACACAGGGACCTTGAGGCCTCCCAGAAACCTGACCAACCAGCTGGTTCACATGAGCCCTCAGGAGAAACTTACTGGAATCCCTGAATTACAAAACGGGCTATCACCCAGAGACAGCAAGTGATGTTAAGAGGGCTGCAGGGCTGCTCTTTTATTTCTAGTGTCTGCACTTCCAGGAGGAGCATGAACTTGCTGACAAGAGTTCACACAATGACTACAAATACAGTTTTGTTTGAAAATGAGCCTGACGATGTGAGGCTTAAGGAGGTCAGCCTTCATGTCACTGATGGTTTGGAGGTGACCTGTGTGCCTTCTGAGCTGCTTCGGAATAGAAAGATACTAGCTGCTCTTTGGAGGTTCTGTTTCTTGTTTTTTTTTTTACTTTGCAGACAGTATTGGAAGTTGACGTTAGGCCACCTCAACCTGGAATTGAGACTCAGCTTTCCTGTAGAAGGGGTGACTGAAGTCTGAATCAGATCACAGAGAGGTGGTGGACTACCCTTTCCTTCACATACTTAACAAGAGCTTAGTTGCTTGTTTTGGTTTTTTTTAATATAAATGTTTAGTTCAGTTTCTACAGAAAGCCCTAAGGCTGGTGTTTGCAGAAATCTAGTTGTCCTATCAGTTGGTTACTGTCATTGCTGTGGTATGTGGAGTAGGTATTTAATAAGTGAATCCAAGGTGGGATTAAGAAAAATGGGAAGTAAAAAAAAAATATGTTGTATTTATATTGGAAAACCTTTTTTTTTTTTGCATTGCCACTGCATATAGTGTTTATCAGGCCTTGTAAAGAGCTGTTGGGTTTATATTCTTTGTAACTCAAAAGAGAGAGATGAATTTCCTGGAAATGAGATGCTTTTGAGATGATTCTGTAACCATAAATTAACTGCCTGACCCAGACTGATGTTTAATCTGGTAACTGAACAATAGGGCTTGCCAAACTCATGCTGATGGAAGCTCAACCCACCTCAGTCCTCGGTTTTATCTCAATATATATTCATAGAACCATAGAATCATAGAATGGTTATATGAAAACTCATATTGTAGTATCAACACCTGGTTCCTGGTAGGCTGTGCCATCTCTTCCAAGTTAAGCATGGACTAGTGTACAGACCTGTATTTGCAGAATGGCTACAATATTGAAACCCCAAGCAAAAAGTAATTAGAACATATGTTCTGCGGAGAATATTTATTTCTTCTTGAAGTGGGTTATATGAAGATAGCAAAGGAACCTAGAAATGGGGCGAAGACCATCCACACCACAATTATAAGAAAGCCCCAAATATCCTAACAAATAAAATGTTTCATATGGCTGTGTTTATGGTTATTTTTATTCACAGTGTAACTCATAGGAACCATACCAGTGATACCAGCTAAGGACCCTTCCTGCCCCTGTGGTTCTCTTTCCTCCAACATCTGGATGAGCAGAAGCATTCCTCTGCATGCACTGAATGCTTGTGTGTTATTAGTTCTACTAGCGACTATTATTATTATTACTAATTAATTTAGAGTACTTCTATGGGATTATTTCAAAGTTTGATCTAGCTCAGCACCTTCTATGGCCAAAAGAATATACCAAGGGAAGAATCTATGAACAAGGCAACTGTATATGATACTATTTTTTACCCATTTTCAAAATCCAGAACAAACCAAAAAAAAAAGATTTTTTTTTTACTGCTTAAAAAAAAAGTCTAGGTGTGTGCCCTATTTCAGCTTGGAGTATCTTTAGAAAGCAAAATTATCAATCCTTAAAAATGAAGACTGCAAACGAAAAAAACCCACAGATACAACTTTAATAATAGCATTGAAAATGTCAGAGGAATGATAGAGCTACTGCACTTGCTATAGCTGCTCCTTGACTGCTCTTCTTTATTGGCATGTGTGCCTCAATTGTTCAAAATACAGAGTGTCTTAACATTGATGTCATATTTTTGTTATTTCAAAGAGCCTACATTTGACCTTTCTCTGTAACTGTGACACTAGTTGAATTCTGCTTCAGTTCATGGCAATTTACTAAATCCTTTGAGAGTTCACTAGTTAATTATTGCCAAGTGAATTTTTAATTTGCTCCTATGATTACATTGGTGAATACAGTCATTAGTGGGAAATTTATTTTAGAAATTGGCACTAGAGGGAGCTAAGTAATTGTATCATTTATGTATCTAGAAAGGAAAAAAAAGAACATTCATTAAAAACTTGCTTTTTTCTGAACCTGCTGATTTTACAAATATGGCAGCTATGCCTCAGCAAATTATAAGTGATAATGAATTAGTTAATTTTCCTTACTGAAAACTGCTATGGTAAGATTATTAAATTACTATATCTCTGTTTAGTGAAACTAGCTACCAGTCAGTAAATTAGGATTTCTAGGACTCTTTTGGGAGGGGGAATTTTTTTGTGACTATTATCCTTGTTTATCATTATTTTGATCTTAACAGAATTAAAATGCTCACAGATACCCTCCTGAAGTCTAAGTTTTTTTTCCCAAATGCACTGCAGGACGGATGGCCTTGTCAGATGCTGCAGCTCTGTAAAAAGGAGCTGGAGAAGGTGCCTGCAGTGCAGACACTGAAGACTTTCTGGACTGTGCCACAGCTGCGTCTGGACACAAAGTGCTGTATTTTCCAGCCCAATGTCCACTTAGATCAGTAATCACAGGAGTCCCATCTTTATTTAGTGACAGCTGGCTCAGTACATTTATCTTCATAGCTCACCTGGTGTACTCCCCAGAACTGCTGGGTGTGTAGGTTTTGCTGGAGTTCTGAAGATCCCACAATTACACCTAAATCTTCATGCTGCTCATGCTTCATAGCTCTGTCCATCTGAAGGAATTGTGACTTCTTAGCACTATATCAATCTTCTGGTTCCATGTGAAAAGTTGTTTATTTGAACTGTTTTAGGTCACCTGGAAGCCCCCTGCGCTTCTGGGTTACAGCTGAATGACTTCTTGCTCCCAGTTTTCTACACCTCTTAAAGGAAATAAAGCTCCTCTGTTTCTCTGTAGTGGGATGAAGGCCACCAGAAGACAATCACTTTTCTCTGCCTTTGAGGATCACATACCTACTTCTTGATTCCCTTCCATGAACCCATCCCTAGTATGGGAACACTGAACGTGCAAAGGAATGGTTTTCCTGGTAGCTCCCAGCTTGCTGACCTTTGTAATGTCTGTAAGTGTGAAAACATTGCAAGAATTGTCCATCTCCAAGAGCTGATGCTTTCTTTCTTTAAAAGAAAGTAAACTCAGTACCAAGTAGACAGATAGTAATGCAGACAGCTGACTAAAATAGATGAAAATACTGAATCTGAGATATAGCAACTGGCCTTCTTTGACAAGGGAGAGCAACATCTGGCCTTTCTGTGAAATATTGTGAAATATCATTAAAACAAATCTGAAACATAATGTCTTTCTGATCCCACATCTCTTTATTATTTATGCCATGTTTTTTTTTTCTTGTCGAGCACTGAGAAGACATCACCCCCACTACCACCACCTGGAAGCAGTAATGGTTTCATCTGCTGAGCTAATCTAGCCCTGCCAGAGAAGCATTTGTGCTATTGCTTACAAGTTAGCCACAATACCCATGGTGTTTTGTTTCCATCAAGGTATAGAATTAGTATGCTGTCCAAGTTGCATTTAATGATATGTCCTCTTTCTTGTACTCACAGAAGCACGTATAATTGAGGTCATAAATGAGGAAAACATTGTCCTAATCTTTTTTATTATCATTTTTTCTTCTTTTTTTTTTTTTTTCTTTCTTTCATGGAATCTTAAGAATGTTCTGCACCTGCAAAGCTGAGCGGGTATGGTTTGCCATTCCTTTTGTCATTTACAAAATCTGTTCTTAGGTACTGTGGATAATTTTGCCAAATTCCTTATGTTTGTTGTAGTTCATTTCACTGTGCATCATGCTTTCCTGATGTAGTGATATGAACTGAAGTTGCCTGAATGAAAACTCATCATGCTTTGGAAGTCACTTTTTGAGTATAACCTCCTGTGAAATCCTGTGAGAAGTAAACACCACATTTTATACTTTTGACACTAGAAGTGTTGTTCAGTAGTTTAAATTAATATAAGTAATAATATCACCAATCCAAGGCTTTTCTTTTTTTTTTTTTTTAGTGTCATACGTGTATTGTAGGAAATCAGGAACATGATTTGGGGTCCTATCGGTTTGGGTATCTTTCCCCAGTGATATTATTTTCATACTTGGCTAGACCAAGACATCTTGCCTTATGTTTTTCGGATGTGAACTATGGATTAGGTTTAGCAGTCTGATGTTATTGCACAATAACAGGGTCCCAGAACCAATGCAAATTATTTATAGCCCCAATAAACTAGTTAATGTTAGTAAATATCAAGCCATTTCTGTCTTTCTGCCTTTTCAAGCAAGTGCAGAAGCTGTGGCCTAAAATCTGTTTCAGGAAGGGTAGTGCTGAAGGCATCTGTACCATCTATGAAAGACTTTTATTTCTTAACTCCTTTGCTTTAGCTTTATTCTATACTAAAGGTCTGTACTATGAAGGTGAGAGATTATAGGCAATACTACAAATAGAGGGAAGAATATTGTCCTTCTGGTTTCTTGGTAGTATCAATGGCTCTGGGAAAACTTTGTAGTGCTGTGTCCAGTTTGTGCACTTTTTCAAAATTTCACTTGGAAATGAGGGAATCTTGTAGCAGCATTTTCTTAATTTTTCATAAAGAGTATCTCCTGATAGACATAAATATGATATGCAAGTATGCGCATTCCTAGAAAAATTATCTTTATTTCCTGGCATTAATCAGGAACACGGGGAAGAGTTGTGGAAGCTTTTATGGGCTACGTATGTGCTTCGTACTTTGCATAACTATTATGAGCTACTCCAAAACCCAGAGGGCAGCTTTCAGGCAACCTAGAGATGGAAAACAAGTGCATTAAATCTAGGCTGGGTGCATGGACTGCCTGCCAGGTGGGTGTGAAACTGGCTGAATTGCTGAGCAAAAATCATAGCACATGACTGCTCAAGGTGTAACCAGCATCTGACGATTTACCAGTGGTGTTCCATAGGGCTGATGCCAAGGCCTGTGCAATTCTGTAGGCGTTGTCCCCCACCTGGATGATGACATCAGGTGCATGGAGGCTCTTCTCAGAGGTTGTCTACCCTTGCAGGCTTTCAAAAATCATCTGGTCTAGGTTCTCAGCATGGGGGATTTGGGGGAGTTTTAGGGGTTTTGGAGTGAAGAAGTTATGTGAGGTGGAAAGCATGCATGTACCTGTTCTTTACAGGGGGGACTTAAGCGGGAAAAAGGACGATTCTTGCAGTTTAGCTAAAAAAAAAAAAAAAAAAAAAAATCATAAGAGGTATAGATTTTATATAATTTCTGCCAGGACAGGAAATAGAAGGGTAGTATTTTAAGAGACAGGTAGAAGGAAGAAGAGGCAATAATGCTGTGGAGCCGTCTTTACTATTACTTGCATTACACAACTAGTCAGACTGATCATTAATGCTATATTGTAGCACTCTTGTCATGTTGCTGTTACTTTCCTCAAAACAGGACAGCTTGGTTTTTATTGTTCTACAGCATAAGAACACAAAGCCTGGTGGTGTTTCTGTACATAATAAATTAACTAGCACTCTGTGTGTCCTATCATGCTTGGAAGGAGCATTCCTTGACTTTCACAATCGTATTTCAATATTTTCCTTCACGTCCTTCCTTAAAGCGGTACTTTTCCTAGCTTTCAGAAATGGCTAGGGAAACTTAATAAAGGTTAAGTCTGTCACATGTATACTACTGATGCCTCAGTGTAGTTTACTGTCTCACATCCAGCTGTACACATCGCTCCCCTGTATTTTATGTTGTATTTCTACAGAACCCAAACTAATGGAGCACTAGTCCTCATGAAAAGCCTTGGGGGCCTTGGTCAGGAAAATTACCCATTAAATATGAAAGTTATTCAAAATAAGTAAACAGCTCTATTTGTTAACTGTTACCACAACCACTATTTAAATACATTAGGTGAATTTAGTGATTTTTTTTTTCAGTAGTTAAAGTTGAATAGTTTCTTCTTAGAAAAACAAATAAGGCACAAGTGACAGAACAGATATGACTTCTTAAAACATGATGGTGGGTGAAGAATTTTATGCTACAATAGTAATGTTGGCATAACGAATATGTTAGGAGTTGGAAAGCCAAGGTGAGTGTAAAGGGAAACGCATAATTAAAATAACTTTTGAATCTACTTGGCTGTGGATAAATGCTGAAATTTAAAGAAAGAAAAGCAGTTAAGTAACAGCAGAGCTGTGCTGAACTTTGCTTGGGAACTGAACTCGCCTGATTTCAGATGGAGCATCTCCTGCTGATTCCTCATGGTGGACTGCTCTTATCAATAGTTGAGTCAGACTGAATTTTATTAGCAATAAAAGCATTTAAAGATGAAAATATTGCAAGATAGCAACAAAAGTGTGACGCTATTTTAGATGAACTTCCCCTTTTCTGTAACATTGACTTGTTTCATAAGACTCTGAACTGTTGTTCCAACCTATCTGTAGGCACTGCCAAAACTTTTTTCTACCCTGTATGCCCTGCTTATATTTTGAAGGGTATTTTTACAGCTGTGTGGACCAAAGATATACAGGTGGTGGCTTGTTTGGTTTTTTACTTCCTTCACCCTTTTCCCCCCACTTTTTCTTTTTTCTGTTAAGGTATGCTTGGATTGTGTGGCACAAGATGGCAGCATAAGGAAAATTTGCTAATCTCAGAAATAGCTAACTTGTCTAAGCTGCAGAAGTGTGTGAGTACTAGTTAAGTTTTTAAAATGATTTCTGCAGATTTAGAAAGATTTAATGAAGCTTCTTACTAAGACAATCACTTGATCATCTCAAAAAAAATCCTCTTTCAAAGCCTCGGTGAACTCATATCTTATAAAAAATTTGCTTTCTTAACTCAAATGTCATTTTTAATAAACATTTTTCCTGGTTCCTCTTCCTCCCCCCAGTTATTGTCTGGAGTAAGATCAGCAGGAAACTTAGACTTTATAGACTTTACCAAACAGCATTTTTGTCATAAAATGTCCTCCATATTCCCCTTTAGTATGTACTTGTCATGGCACAGTGGTCTGTTTCAAACAGAAAGCTAAATTATGGGAAATTAAACACTTCCATGCTGAATTTAGCAATGTTAGTCTCTGACTTTGTTTCACAAAATATGCAGCTTTGGTAGAGCCTTTGACTTTTTCTGGGTAAAAAAAAATAATGTAGCTCTTTACTCTCAATTTGCTTCATTTCTTTTGTCTTCCTAGCTATGATCTAAAATATAGGGCTTTACTGTACCTTTTCATGCCTCCAATATCTGCAGCAATGTGTTAAGCAGCATTTTGTTTCACATAGAATATATTCGAGGAATAAAAAAACAAAATGAAAAACCCAAAGAAGGTGATCCATATTCCCATTGTTTATACAAGTGTCTATGTATGTATAATGCCATCTTCTGAAGATGGAATCTGTCCCATTAACAGGCTTGGGGTATTCCAGAGCATACTTTCGTTCACGTTGCTTTCTAGCTTGCTGACAGAAATATGTCATGCATATTCTTCATGTAGTAATGGAGAGCTTGAAAGGAAGCCAGATTCAGTTATCTATATATTTTGCTATAAAATTCTAAATATTTATATTTTGCACAGTCTGCAAAGATACAGGGAGATTGTACTGGTGTTTTCATGCACCACTGAAGCTTTTATTTACTGTCTTTTCATTAATCCAAATGATGCTGCTTTTTGTTTTTAAGAAATAAGTTTAGTGAAACATTGTTGGCCTCTCTTGATGACACTGCAAGTCTTCTGATGTCTGGTGTCTCTTAATTTCAGAGCTATCCAATGAACATGTATTTCATTATGAGTAATGTAAAAGAGCAAGGTTCCAACCAAAACCTGGAAATGTGGCTTAAATATATTTTAAATACTCAGAATGAAGAAAGAGGATCTAATTCTCACCCTTGATCCCTGCCTGTTTCCTTTATGTGCATGTTTTCTCACTTCACTGGTAAACAAGCTGTAACTTCATGTAGTGAGAGGACAATGGGAATGGCTTTAAACTGAGAGTGGATTCAGATTAGGTATTAGGAAGAAGTTCTTCCCTGTGAGGATGGTTAGGCACTGGCACAGGTTGCCCAGAGAAGCTGTGGCTGCCCCATCCCTGGCAGTGTTCAAGGCCTGGTTGGACGAGACCTTGAGCAACCTTATCGGGTGGAAGGTGGGGTTGGAACTAGATGAGCTTTAAGGCCCCTTCCAACCCAAACCATTCTATGTTTCTATGATTCTAGGCTCTACCCCACTTCATTCCAACACAGGCAGCTCAGCACCTTTGTCTGATCCACATTTCAAAGAAACAGAGCATATATGCTTAAGATGAATGCATTTATTCCGAACGCTTTGATTAACAGAATTGCTTAATTTGAACAATCTCCATACTTTATGATCTATATGTATAGAATGCAATAAAATGATACAGGAGCATCAATATTTCATGTAGAATACTTACACCCGCCTGTCATCTTGCAGCAACTTTTGTCCCCTTGTCTTATTTGTATCACTTCTATGGATGCAGAACCCATAGTTCACTTTCATACTTGTAGAGATGATAAAAAAAGGAGTTTCCCTGATGTCCTTTGCTTTGCTCCTTGTATACAAGCTCAGAAGCACACCACAATCTTAGATGTAATTTCAGAGGTAAACAGAGGTGGCTTCTTTTTTATGAAGCAGTTCACTACAGTCCTGTTCCTTCTCACCTGCAACTTAGACCTGTTAAAATAAGAACCTGACAATGTTCTTTAGATTTAATGTGTAATACTGCAGATATCTGCACATATTTATGGACGATATACATAGTAATAGCAAAACTTTATTTCCTTTTTAATTAAGCATATCCCACCCCAATTTTTTTCTTGTTTTCTTTTCTCCCCAACTTTAAGGCACAAACTGGGCACTTCTCATGGATTTAGCTGGGTGTCGGCAGCATAGCCAGTGAAAGAGCTGTAA